GCTTCGCAGTCTCGCGAACATGGCGATTCATATGCGCCAACTCCGTATTGAACTGCATGCAGATTTGTGCGAGGCGGGACCTCTGTTGCGGCGGCTGACCTGGGTTTTGCTGTGGCATGGCATCCTCCTTCTTGATATTCTTTGTGATTCTTTGCAACAATGTCTCCAAGGTGACCTGAGCAGATCTTCTAGTCTTCTCAGGGAGATCTTGGGGCATGTCCTTGATGACGTACATGAGAGAGCGAATGAACTCAATCTGCTTACCCGCAACCCATAGGTCACCTAGGTCAAGCTCATTGAGAAGGAAGTTGATACCAAGAGAGCCGCCAGTTTTGGTGAACCATTCTTCTTCGTAGCAGCCGTGGCAGAATGTGGTGCTCAAGTTGTTAAAGAGAGGCAGCCTAGCAACACTCTGCTCATTGCCCAGAATTGTGGTGGCAGAGTCATACACCTCCCGGATCGCGCGCTGCGCAGATTCTCGCACCTCTGGGTGATCCGAAGCCAACGATTCCACAATAGCATCAGAGAGCACCCGGGTATCAATAAAGAGTGGGCCTTCACCGGCATTGGGATCGAATGGGCTGTACGTTCGCTTGACGTCAACCAAGGCCCGGCCGACCTCAATGATTGTAAAGTGTTTGCAGATGTTCATGAGGAATGCCTGTGCTTCTTCCTTGAAATCAGGCAAAGACTCGGCAAACATGACGGCCTTCAGCAAACGCTTAAGTAGGTCGTCTTGCTCGTCCTTCTTGGGGATAGATCGCTCTCTGTCGTGTGTTGTAAAGGCAGAGAAGTCAAAGTCAATTCTTCTAGCGGCTAGATCTTGAGCTTGGAGGCGCAGAAGTCTAGGCATATCGTCGGGCAAGTTCTCGAAGCCGATCCGCATCTTCAGCTGAGACTTGATGAAGTGGAAGGATTGCTTCTTGTAGTAGCCATCATACTGACGCGACTGGTTTCCCTTGCCGGCCTTTGGCTGCTCCATCAACTTTCTAATAGCGAAATCGACACCTGTCTCCGCAGGGAAAGCTCTATCCTTCTTGGAGCCGATCAGGCGGAGATCGAAGCTGGTCGGGTCGTCGGCGTAGTCCTTGTAGTTGAGGGGTTGCGCGTCGGTCATGAACTTTCGGTTACGGCCTCCAAGCTTTCCAAGGATGCGCATCGTCGTGTGAGCGTGGAAATGGCTGTAGGGATGGGGTTTAAGGTGGTCAAACAGCGCCGTCATCAGCTCATCAATGACCGGAGCCATGATGGGGTCCAGATAGTCCGCAGTAAGGTTGTCGACACAAAGCTCCAGCGTACGCAGTCCTTGACCAACTAGATCAGTGTTGGCGCGCAAGGCGACAACTAGTGGCCGCATCAGGAAGCTGAGATGGGGCAGTAAGTTGCTGAGACGTGCCGGCACCGTCAAGCACAGCTCCACGTAGAGGTCACGCTCGGCAGGTTTCCTTGCTGCCAGGAGCAGGTTGTTGAGCACATCCAGCAGCATTTCAAGTAGTGGCAAGATCTGCTTATAAAGATGCTCAAACTTGCCGCCACCGATGCTTCGGAACAACGATCTCAGGAGTAGGAAGTAGTTCATGGGCTCTTCGGCCTTTGTCGACAGCTCAATGGACTTAGTGACAATGTCCACAACGTGAGGAAGCAGGACCTGTTCGTTCTGGTTGGCGAAGAGCGTGACTGCCATGAAGGCCAACTTGAATAGCCTCAGCAGAATTGACGACTTCTTGACGTCTGCTGAGCCAACTTGGTCGATTCTCTCCATCAAGAAGCGCAACAACATGCCGCAAAAGCTTGGTGAGGTGGCTTCGCTCGCGAGGAAGAACTGAGGAATGTGGAGCAATCCCGTATGCTCAAAGATCATGTCGTACAGATGGGGGATCTCTTGCTGGAAGACTTCGTGGAACGTCGCCGGGTCAATGCAGTGGAAGACAGTCGCAAATGTCTCGAGTAATTCCTTCTCTTCCTTACTGCTAGAAACCATGTAGAAGTTGGCCATATACTCCACGGGCGACATGTACTGGGACTCGGTTGCCGGCTTCTCAATTTCGTAGTAGCGGAAAACGTAGGCGCCCTCTCTGAACAGCTTCACGATGACGTTAACCTCCTCAGCTGTGAATCCGTAGGCAACATCTTGCCAGTGTTGAGGGGCATTCTGGACGTCGATTACGTTGTTAACATTGCACGTTCTGAGCTGGTAGAAAGTGTTCTTCAGCCCGTTCATCAGGTTCTTAAACAGGAACTTGTTGTCCACAACGGGGTCTGCGCCTCTGTCCCTTGGATTTGACGTCTTGATCGGCATGGCAGTGAAGATGTCGGTCTCGTCCCAGTCAGGCGGGTGATCCTTGTCCGCAAGGTAGCTATCCTGGGTTCCGTCAGCGGCTTGCTGGGCGTAGAGTTTCGAGAGCTTCACTGCGTTGGGATACTGTCTATTCATGGCCACGAACTTGTCGCCAATAGCGTTCAGAATCATGATCAGATAGTGCCGCGCGTCGACCTTGTTAGGCATCTTGGCGATGCACTCCGCCATATTGAGGAGGAGTTTGGCGCTCATGGTCTGGAAACTTGTCCCTGGGAAGTTATCCTGGAGGTTTTTGGTGTAAACCTCCACCGTCTTGCGAATTTGCTCCGGCGTGAGACTATCGCGAACGTGATGAATGAGATCGGCGAGCATGCTATACGCGAGTGGTCTCATAGTCTCGTACACCGTCAGGCCATCGCCGATCAACGTCTTCTCGTCCAGGAGCTCGTCAATCTTTGGCAAGAAGATCTTGCGGAAGTTGAAGTTGATGATATGCCTAATAGCAACAAGCAGCTCCTTACGCGCACTTGACTTCTCTCTTGGGCAGTCCTGCAGGAGCCGAACCACGATCTCAGGTAGTGTCGGTAAGAAATCTGTCAATTGCTGAGAGTATTGCCGCAAAAGGTAGGCCAGAAAGCTCATCGTCTTGACCTGGGCTGTGATGAACTCTCCGAAAGCGGCCCGGTTCTTAATCAATGGGCTCACTCCCGTAAAGATCTGTCCCCTAGCCTTCGCATCGGCATGTGCCTGCTTCTGCGCGCTCGCCTGGAGGCAGAGGAACCCCTTAATAAGAGGGACGAAAGCCTTAACGTTTGACGCAACAGTATTTCGATAGACCTGAAAGACGGAAACCACGATGATAGGGCATTCCGAGAGGACTTTGAAAGACTGCATGCCCTTCAGCAGCAACCGATTCTGCTGTTGGGGATCCGGGCCGAGATCTGTGACCGACGCTACGGGGGAGCCCGGTCTAGGTGACTGGAAGTTCGTCTGGGAGCTGCCTGGCGTTGATGGTGCTCCAGAGTTTGATGCTGTCGAGAGTGACGTGTTGTCCAGCTGTTCCCGCACGACCTTCTCCATCTGTTCGAAGAGCTCCTGGATCAGGTTGAGGAATGCCTGCACCTTGCCCTGCAGGACTTTGTGTTGGTGACGCATGACATCCGAGATAATCTTGACGCATAGCGTCGCATTCTCTTCGTTGTCCGTTCGGACCAGCTGCATCAGCAGATCGACAACCTCTTCAGCATAGGGTTCGAAGGGTTCGGGTGGGGACGGTGTCGCTGGCAATCGGTTGAGGACCTCGAGGATACATGTTCGCAGTTTCTGGGATTCAATGTTAACGGGCGCACTCATCAAGGTTGATGTGGGGATGGCTCACCTGCTCCGGGGAGTTGCTCTGGAAGATGCATGGTCCTCTTAGAATGGCGAGGAAGATCGGAACCATTCGCTTCAGGAAAGGGGGGTATATGGTCCCGTTGGTGTAGTGATCTAAGCTGTCGCGTAAGGTAGTCGCCGCCTCTAACCTGACTCTCGAGTCTGTACCACACACATGTCAGCAAGACCATGACGAAAGGTGATGCGCCTCCACCACGGCGGGGTTCCGGGTTCGAGGAATCGATCGCATCGCATCGCACGAGGGGTTCGTTCCCTACCCGTGTCCGGACTGCTAAGTCGCTTGACGACATCGTCAATTGTGGTGCCCGACATGGCGGCGTCAATGGCCCTCGGGGGACGCGTGCTTCGTTCCCATGCGTGGTAGAGGAGGGTATCGTAGATGACTTCGTGTCGCGGCGAGGCTGATGGATCGAGGTTGCGGAAGAGAGCGCGCGCCGGAGTTGGAGGGGTATCTTGTAAACGATGTGAAAGGCGAAAAAAGGCCGCTGGTGGTTGTGAATGTGAACAGAAGGACCAAAAGGTAATTTTACGATTGCGGTCTGTCTTTCGCGTGTGCCTTGGTTATCGGGGTGCCCCAGTCGTTTCCCAATCGCTCAAGGTCGCGCGGCTTGATTAAATGGATTTGATGGCCCAGGCTCGACGTGAGCTCTCAAATTTCCAAAGGCAGTCGCGAAGCTGGGGGAACCGGCCGCCAAATCATTTGGCGCTAGGCGCCTGAATAATATTGATCCGAGGTATATGCTCCATAAAAGCCCCACCCGGAGTGCCTACCGGGCCGCGTCTGGGGGCAGGGGTGTTTGCCCAAAGCTCCTTATCTTGTCTGGGGAGCGATAAGAGCTCCGGCCGCCGGTGAATCGTGGTCCGGAGGCGGGCCGGGATTCCACCTCATTCTTCGGTCACCTTTGTTCAGTCTTATGTCGTTGCTTGCCTATCTAAGGTTTCTTTCACGTTTTCAAACGGCTTTTATGCAGGCACATCATTCTTCCATGTTTGTGTGAAGTTCACAAAAGAAAAGACAACGGTTTTATATCTTGGCATTTCTAATTGTCAACCAATCCACCTCAATCAGGCAGATCGGTATTCTAAGTTTGGACGGGGAGGCACGAGTGAGTCACTAGCTTCATCTGAGATTGGAGAGGAGTGTATAAAGACTGGAATCTTGCGCACTGGGTTTCTTTCCGAAGGCCTCTGCATCCTTTGCGCTCGAGCAACGTCTCTCATTTGGTCAACTTCAACATCTCACGAAATCATTCCGATAACACATAACCTACCTACTTCTGTCCAACACCTAGACATCGCATTCAAGATGAGCGGACCGCATACAGCCTTCTTCTACGGTAAGTCTCAACGTAATATCTCATGACGATTAGCTAACACTCTCGACAGGCACTCTGGTCAGTCACCTATCTCACCCTCGTCAACCTTTCGAGAAGCTCATGTGACTAACACTCCTCCCTAGATGGAGCCCAAAGTCTTCTTCACAGTCGTCCAAGGCAACGGCAACCCGCCCCAGGCAATCAAGGACCTCTACACATTCACGCCCGCCCTCCTGCACGACCACACCCGCCACCGCGTCCAGTCCGCCGACTACCCGGGCATGATCCCCGAAGCCGGCGGTTCTGTTCTGGGAATCTACGCCACGGGCCTCACGGACGCCAACGTCCTCAAGCTCGACTTTTTCGAGGGCTCCGAGTACGAGAAGAAGATGGTCACCGTCAAGGTCCGCGGCGGTGGTGGTGATGCTGGTGCGGGTGCGGAGCAGAAGGAAGAGGATAAGGAGGCCATGGCATACATCTACAAGCGCCCGGAGAACCTGGAGCGCGTGGAGTGGTCATTTGAAGAGTTCCGCAAGGACAAGATGCACGTCTGGACGCGCGAGAGCTATGTCTTTGAAGGTGAGACAAGCCACCATCCCGTCTTCAATCTCTCGATGGAGGGCGAGCTGGCCTGGCTGGCCGAGTGAGCACTTTCTTACTGACATCGGCAAAATCACATCTAGGCTGTGACGATTATGCAGAGTTCGAGAAGGTAGAAAAGGAAGATGCAAACGGTCACGAGGAGAAGAAGGATGGCATGGCCAAGTAGAGTGATGCTTGGCCAGGGGACTTCAATTGGGTCAACATGCCTCTTTTTTCCCCTGCTCTTCTCTTTCACATGGCGGCAAACGGCATTATGTGATGGGCTCTCATGGCAGGCGGCTGACGCAGGTCTGCGACAGGGCCGGCAGGGCGGTGTGAGGTAGACATGTCAGCGCCGGCTCACGGCATTGGAGAGAGAGGGTTGAGCGCCGCCGCCCTCACAACGCAGACGGGCAATTACGATGTGACGGATAGATGAAACCAGGACGCGATAACAGCAAACAGAGAAGACGACGTCTTGTTAAACAGTCATGCACCATGAATGAGTTGACGACTGCCGCCAGCCTTGGCGCGCAGGGCTGCAGTGCGTTAATACGTGTGTGCCTCTTTGCCCCGTGATGTGATGTGATGTTGTCGTGGCTGTCGTCGTCGTCCTATGGCCAGGTTTGGGCGGCAATGCAACCATTCAAAGCGGGGGAAGCCCTCAATCCGAGGGGCAGCCTTGATGATATCAGCAACGCTCATGATAAGTGCACTAATACTCGCTGACCAGAAAACAGCTTCTGAGTGGTCCACGCTTATGCAAGCTTGCTGGGCAAGCATGCAGGCCCGGCGTTTTTTGTTGAGCAGCTGAAAATCATGCTATCGCAAAACGAGCCACAGCAGCTTGAACTAGCTCAGGAACAGGCGCCGATACGTTGTGTAAAGGCGTGTAAAATGCCTCCTTGTGAACAATGCCAGTAGCGGCTGACTCTTGAGCGCCGGGGTTTCCAGCTACGCAAGGATGGTAGTCCAGAGGCATCCGATGAAGAACACTATATCGGTACTATATCGGCATCTGTAAGCTGCTCTCTTGTGGCACAGGAAGCGAAGCGAGTTGGTCCTACGTACCACAAAGCCGGTCCCTTTTCTCGGGGAGCACGAAGTACGAGCCGGCATAGCATACGAGAGAGATCTGTGGCTCCGGCAGGCAGGGGAAGCCACACCGCGCCACAAGCCGTTGCTCGCAAGGTGGCACCGAACAGGGGTGGCTGACCGCGGGTGGCGTTTCCTGGAAAACATTCGGATCTCCTCGTGAGGTTGTGGCTCAGAGGCGATCTTTCATGCCTCGGCGCGCTCGAATTGGGTGTTCGCCAGGGATAGCCCTCCCCACCGCGATTGATATGTGTCGTTGCCCATGACTTAAGCTGATAGCGGCTCGACTGCCCAAAGGAGAACGGCGAATAATAGGGTATTGGCAAGGGGCCATCAGGTGGTAGAGGTCATGTCGGGGAATTCATGCGCGGGCGGGAACGGGTGCCGTTTCGTAGCTGGTACTGCACCGGGCTGTGTGCGCTGGCGGGCGATCAGTGTCGCAAGTACGAGACTCGGTTCAACCAGATCGTCCGAACATGAAGGAGAAGTTGAGAACATGAGAGAAGACGGGCCTCCCAGCGCTGGCTCCCTCCCACACCTCCCTCCCTTACTCGGATCGTCTTTCCAGACGGCGCTTGTCGAGCCTGGGCTCATTCTACTCAATGCCCAACCAGCTGCGATGTTCAGGGGAGGCAGCAACACGGATGTGGACGGGCCAAGATGAAGGACGAGGGATTTGTCGAAATCATCAGACGATGGAAATCTCGACCGGGAGCAATAGCGTACCGGACTCGAGAGAGCCATAGCTGTATGTGTAGATGATAGATGAGAATGCGTCGACGCATGGGTAAAGAATTACGTACTGCGCCGCGCGCAACAAACCGACCGAGATATGTCGTCTCTTGTTGCTCTCAGTGCCACCCTCCCTCTCCTCTCTCGTGATTGAGCAACATGAGCCTCTTTTCTTTCTCGCGAGCGGTCCCTGTCAGTATCCACTCGGCCGTGGAATTCGGGCCACCACCATCCGGGAATTGGACGGTGGACCACGGGGTGGCGATCAGCAACGTGACAGTGGACGACATCCGGTGAAATATCCCTCTACACAGTACGGTCGGGCAAAGGCCGGGGAACAGTGGTACGTATCCGTATCCGTAGAGCAAAAGGTAGAATCTGCAGGGTTCAGGTTGATGGACCCGTGGTCGCTTTGGGCTCTGGGGGGTTTGATGAACCGTGAACGTGCCAGAGTGACAGCCGAACGACGGGCTGCGTCCACGGTCGCAGAACGAGCTGCTAGCTGCTAACAATCACGGAGTAGAAGCAAGAAATGCTTACGAAGTAGTAGGCCTGAGAGCTTCGGCGCACGATGCTTGGGCGTTGTTGTCCACGTAGTCGTCCCGTTGCTGTCAAACGACTGGCCAACATCAGAGCAACCCGAGGGTTAAGCACCTTAGGCTGACAGCTCGTGACAGGTGCTCAGCTAACAAACGAAGCTGGTTCGTTCTCTAAAGCGCTTACCCCAAACGCGGCGGATAGGAGGGGGGGAAGGTCGTTGTGACGACGTTTTCTCGATGGAGTTGGACAAAGGAAAAATGACTGGCCCCGGCGTGCTAAGACTGAATCGCAGATGCCATGCAATGCGGCATGCCATGTTCCCGCTTTCCGCGGTCCGCGATGGCCTGTGAAGCGACTGACAGTTGACTTGACTGGTCTGAAGAAACAAACGGTCGAAAAAGCTTAGCTTGGGAAAAGATTCAGGAACGCAGGAACCATATGATGCCGCACGCGGCGCAATTGTTCCCATTAACAGACAACTGTTAATATCCCATTGATTCGTTATCAGTGGTTCATAGGTGCAGGTTCAAATGTCCGAAAGGAGAAGAGGCGAACTTGGGTGGTCGTGAAACTGGCTTCGTTTCATATCCTCGCTTCTGCGCAGGGGTGTTGGAGTTGGGGGCTCCTGCCAGCAAGTCTCGTCTCCTCCCCAGACATTTTTGCAGGAAACCACCACGACCACCCAGTGACCCCTTCCACGAGACCCTGCGTCCACTACAACGTAGCATGTGTGACGACCGATTAGCCTACCATTTGTTCCTGGACGATGGTATATTAGCACATTAGGTGCGACGAGAAAGGAATGAGCCCATGCCAAAGTAGGGCTTCTTTGGGTGCACTTGTGAAGTGGGCACGATTAACGAGAGGGCAGAAAAGGCCTCAAGTTTTGTGTGGACTGTGGACTGGAGGACTCCCAGCCCGGGGGTACGTGAACCCCTGAACCGAACCGAAAAATGCACAGAACTTCAAGAGAAGCGAGAAAACAACCCCTTGCCATTGGCAACATCGTCTTTTCAACAACCCTTGCACTTGCACAGGAGGATCTGCTCACCTGGCCCCGCCTGCTCTCCGATTTAGCGGGGAACATCCAGATGGGCAGGTCGCAGTGTCAGGGGACTTTGGCCTGTCCTTTGCATGTCAACATGGGTACCTAGGTCTCGGCACTGGGATGGAGAGACTTTCTTTCGGGGGGGGGGAGAGAGAGAGAAGAGAAAGAAGCAAGTGCGCAGAGGAGAGTGAAAACGAGTGGCTGTCGTGAGCCGCTCACCGTTCCTTATTTTCATGTTATCGGTGGAGAAGACCGTTGATCGTTCAAGCAACTACTCCGTATTAGACCGCCACAATCCATATGCACGACTCTGTCTCTATCTTGACTTGAGGCTTAGGTAAGGTGGTTCCACGAACACACGTGTACGGATACGGACGTGGTCTCCACTATCAGGCCAACACCGGGAGACAAGGTACACTGCCACCGCGGCACTACCGGAAAGAGACTTATGACGTGTTAAGCAACAGCCGCAATAAACAGTCGCGCAGATTTTACAGCGGTGCTCCCTCCCACTTACCTTTCTTCCTTTCCCAAGGTTAAGATTTCGCCTTCCCACAATCCACAAGCCAAAACGTCCACTCTAAATGCGCCTTGTCGCCTAGGGCCGGGGCCAAAGGAGTAATACCGAGGTCGAGACGGAGCAGATTGAGTTGGGGGAGCATCCGATGACAATTCAACTCTCTCAGTTTACGTACTTGAGTTCTCTCTATGAAGACATGCGTTTAACTCTCCACAACGGGGATGACCCATTGACTGACTCGGGAGAATCTTGTCGATCAACGCGACTTTGTTCATATTGGGTCTTGGCTTCTTAGCTTGTCAAGCGACAATGCACACAATGGATGGAGGGATGGGGCCTGACTGATACACTGCATTCCATTTCGCGCATTGCTGCTCCCTCCCTCACTCAGCGCACCGAGGTGTGGAGGTGTGTCTCTCGGTGTGTGAAAGGTGAGCTGAACTAGCAACAAGGTGTGCCCCCCCGAGGAAGCCACGAAAAGCCAAGGCATCTCGTTCCAGAGTCTCACCACCGGCTCGAGATGCCCGTTGCATGTCTCGCTTTCGCCTGGTATGCTTAGGTCTGGAACGTTTTTTTTTTTCCTTTTCAAGTTCTTCTTCACCTTGGTCAAGAGTAAGACATTTTGACAGACAAGTGGACTGAGGATGATTGTCGGTCCCAAAAGTTCATGTCTTGGCCAGCGGTCAATTTACTGCAAAAATAAAAAAATAAAAATGGGAATGACATGGAAATCGCGGAACCAGCTCCATCGTCGAACCAGAGTTGAGATGTCGTCTGCCCCTTTCTTCTTCGTTCCGTACCCCCTTGCTCCCCACGCCTTGCCGAAAGCCGTGGGTGCGTGGTTCAGCGGCACAGTAGATCCCCCTGTCTTCCACGATTTTTTTTTTGACTTGGGTTTTCCTTTCCGCCCACCTGTCCGATCCCTGACCCTGATATATTCCTCCTCTGTTTAACACGTCCTCCCAGGCTCCATATTCCTCCATCACCCGCGTTGCGCGTGCACCAAGGTCATTGGGCTGGATGGGCGGGAGAGGCTCGCTGCGCGACAACGGCGGCGACACCATGGAAGTCTAGTCCCCAGTCGTTGCAGGTCTTGGTCTTGACTCTTGAAAGCCACCCCTTGCCCATCCCTCTTTGGCATTAGTCCCTATCAGGAATGACTTCGCTCCCGCATCCCTGCACTCAGAATCGTCGACAGGGGGCAGATGCACCAATTCTTTCTCTCCCACCAAGGCACTGGACCTCTCGCTCA